TCCTGCTAAGGATGATCTCAGTGAATTCGGCTTCAAAGGGCGGCTGGGGACACAGAGGACCCTCCGTGGCAGCTCCGCAGCGCCGCGGCAGCCCTTGTCCTTCCCCCGCGTATTTTTTTTAACCTGGGATTTGGAGACCCCGAAGCCCTTCACGTCCCGTGGTGGATGCACGCTTTGCTCTCACCCCACCACATCTGCGGCGTCGAGGTTTGACGAGCTCCCAAATCCCGATGCCGTATCACCGGGCCGGTCCTGCCGGCAGTCACCTGCCTGCGGTAGGGCTTTCCCTGCTGGGGGGGTTCCGTTGAGGTTGGGGAAAATTACGAGTTTGGGGAGGAGATGGGTCTGTGAAAGCGGTGGTGGTGTTTGGGGGCAGAAAGGGCTGGTCTGGCTATTAAATCCTGAGTCCAAATCCCTTTTTTCTATCCCATTTTCCCGCCGGCAGAAACAAAACCAGCCAGCTGATGGACACCAGCGGGATGGGCTATTTTTTCAGGACCTGCCAGAGAGTAACTCAGATAAGAGTCTGCAAGGGTTTAACCCCATAAATAAAAGCTCAGAAGACATCTGGGTCCAAATTCCCACCACCAACCCCCCTTCACCTCACTTTGGCTTTCCCACCGTGGACTTGTCACCGGCATGGGAATGGCACCGGTGCTGAGGGCCGGCGGTGCCAACAGCTCCTCACCTTCCACGGATGTGGCACATCTCAACGTTTATCCTACGGTTGGGTTTCTTCTCACCCAGGAGTACGGTGGAAGGTGAGGTGGATGGGGACTGGTGGGGAAGGGGCAGGTTCCGAGGATAAAACCAGCGGTTCCCAGGGGATATCCACCACCCCGGTGTCAAGATTTGGGAGGAAATACGGGAGAAAAGGGAGTATTCAGATTTTGGAGCCTGTTTGTGTAGGGTTTTTTGGCAAAGAGAGCTGAGAAAACGGGGAGGAGATCCACCACCAAGCCTAGGAAGGAGGGAGAGCAGAAGGCAAAGGCTTCCAGAGGTTGTCCTCGGCAGGGCAGGCGGAGGGATGGTTGTGCAGAGAGGGACCCCGAAGGGCGGAGGAGTTTGGGGGCAATGCAGCCGTGTGACTCGGCACGACATGGGGAGGAGAAGCCAGACCAAGAAAGAAGCTGAGCTGTTCCTCCAGGGAGAGAGAAAGCAGATAGCACGAGCTGGATGCCTCTTCCGAGGAAAAGGGAACCTCGGGCAGATGAGGAAGCACGACCAACGCTAACGATAGCTATCGGCCCGCTGCGGTGGGCCAGCGGGGTGTCTCGGGTGGGCTACACCCCGAGCAGGAGCAGAGCTTCCACGGGGCTTTCCAAGCTGAGGCCAGAAAAGACCAAGTCTGGTCCCTCGCTGTCGAGTGTAGAAGAAAGAAGAAGCGGAGACCCGGACAGCGGCGTCCAACGCGTCCCCGAGAAGAACCTGGGGGAACCGCAGGCGGAAGGATGCTCTGCCTGCCGGGTACGACGGCACGAATCCCTCTCTGGGGGAGGGAGCGGCGATCGGTGTTCAGATATCTCATTTTTCCTTTCATGGGGTGTCGTGGAAGTGTCACGACGGAGCCGCTCGCGTGGCTCCAAAAATATTTGGAAGTATCCTGTGTTTTCGCCCTGTTTCTGAGCATCCTCCAGCGAGCCTGGGCCGGACGGACCCGTGTTCTCACGCAACGCAACGCACCGTCCCCGTGTCCGTGTCCGAGCTGGGCAGGGGTTAATAAACCATATTTCTCGCCGGTGGCTAGGAGATAACCCTCAGCGAGGTGCTGCCAACCCAGGCTGGGTGTGGGCAGACACAGGGGAAACCATGTGATTAAAAAATAAATATTAATCATGACTGTACTGCTGTGAAATAGTTAATAATTGTACCAAGCAAGATGCTAAATCCCAAATTTTAACCCCCGACGGCATTGCGCTCTCCCAGCCTCGCCGGCAGGGGGGTTTTCCATCTCAGATTTAGCCCCCCCCGGGTGTGAGCGGTTGTGAGCCACCGCCGGTTTTCTTATCTCTTGTGGAAAGTTGGATGGGTAAGACCTTCACGCCACCGGCCACCGCAGCCCTGGCCACCACACGAGCTGCAGACACCGGACCTGACCGGAGACGCTGAGCACCGGCTGGGGAAGGGATGGACATCCCCTTTCCCTCCGCCGAGGGAGCATCCGTGTGGGATCGAGTCTGTACCGGCAGCACCGTGTGTGGGCAGTGCTTCCCAAACCCCACCTCGGAGGGTTCCCCACCGGTGGTGGGTGTCAGTCCCCCACCCAGACAAGAGGAGAAGCGCCGAAGCAAATGGGAAATGGGGCGAAACGGGGCAAAACGGGGCACAGCTCTCCAAAGGGGATGAGGTGTTGCTCTGGGTCTCCTCTCAGCACAAGAGCTGGTTGCTTAAAAATGGGAAAAATGATGTGGAACCCGTGGATCCGGACTGCGGAGAGGATGGGGAGGGTGCGCGACGGGAAGCTGGGAGGTGAACTAGGATGGAGAACGACAGACAATGAGCCCTTGCGCGGTGCGTGAGGCTCGGGCTGTGGGCGAATGAGCTGTACCACAGGGGGGAACTATCGGGCTGGTGGGGCTGGAGCTCTTTGAGGACTTATGGAGACGCAGGGGACATGTCCGCTCTGCCCTTGGTGACTGTGACGTAGGTGTGAGGGAAGGAGCAAAGAGGCAGGGGACAATGCAAAGCCGGAGGGGGGATGTCCAGGCTCAGTGCTCCAGCCTGGGTGAGCACCCAGAGAAGGGAGGGGACACCGTTTGGTGGCAAGCCCAAGGCAGAGAGGACGGGGAAGGGGTGATGGACCTGCCCAGAAAAGAGGGGAAACTGAGGCTGATGGGTTTAGGAAGGGCTAATTGCATCCGGACGCTCCCCGCAGCCCCCCCTCTGTGCACCCCAGGGGCAGGGACAAGCGCTGGAGGCGGTGGGGGGGGACGTGCTCCAGCTCCGTCGCGCTTTCACTGCCCTCCACCCACATCCCCTTGGATCCCAGCCCAGCACGGGGATGGAGCACCCACCGGGTGGACATCACATCAACCCTCCGCGCGACGGCAGGGGCCGGCAGAGCTGCGGGCGGCCCCTCGGTTCCTCTGG